GTCTGGGCGCCGGCTCCGCGGGGACGGCGCGGCGGGGATGCCTACCTAAGGGTCTGCGGTGCCGAACGGCTTTTAGCAACCTCTGTCTGCGACGTAGCATCACAAATGCCGAAGCGTCCTTGGCGGGAGCGTGTTAAAGAACCGAAACAAATTCCCGGCAGCGCAAGCCCCTGCGGCCGGGCCGGGGCTCGCCGGGCGCCGTCGGGCTCGGTCCGGACCCGCATCCCCCGGGGGAGCGCGTCCTGCAGGGAGGCAGTTTCTGGCTTCGACAGCCTTTTGGTTATAAACCTGAAACCACGAATTTTCCCCCAAAGGAGTGGCGCGAGGGGATGGAGGACCCTGAGCTCCTCGCTGGGATTTAACTAAACATCAGAGCTCCCCGCTCTGACTGTCCCCATCTCATCAGGATGAGGGAATACCGTTTGCCCCGGGAGGAAGGGGAATCGCGGGCGGGCGATGAGAATGACCCCGGCGAGGGGCGCGGGGGGCCCGGCAGCATCCTCCCGCCGCGGCGGAGCGGGTCGGGGCTGCCTCCGCGGACAAAGGTGCCGTGGGCAGGGCGTGCTCGGGAGGAAAAACCTTTGAGATTTCTCCAGCGGTTTTGGGGTTTTTTTTGGGGGTTTTGGTTTGTTTTTTTTTTTTTATTGTGAGTGTCTCCAAATACTCGCTAAACCGCGGCTCAGCCCCCGTCCCCGCCGGACTCGGTGCCGCCGCGGGCTGCGCGGCTCCTCGGGTTCCTGGAGGCGGGTGCGAGCGCTGCCGAGGGCCGGATCCGTCCCCGCGGGGCCGCGGCGCTCCGCGTCCTGCCCGGGTCTTATTTGTTATTATTTTTTTAAACCGCTATTTTTTTGGTTATTTCACCGACATTTCCATCGCTCTCGGCAGAAAGGTTTTGGGACGTCGGCGGTGCCGTTGTGCTGCTTCGGGGCACTTCCAGCGTTTTTCATTAATTAACAACCGTTCCGGTGCCGTTAATGTTTTTCGGTTTTGGTTTTTTTTTCTAAGAGTGGACCTTTCCAAAGGCGGTTTCAAAGTAGCGACCGGATCTCTAAATTGCCCTCGAGCAAATACAGCGAATAACGTCTGTTAAAAAGAAACCCGTTCAGGGAGGAACCCCCGAGCGGCGCCCCCCGCCCGGCGCAGGCAGCGGGCGCTGCGCGGGGTCTCTGCCCGCCGGGGACCGGGGATGCCAAAGGAAAACTAAAACGAAAATCGCCGCA